ATGCATCGAGAACAGTCCGTGTGACGCGCCTTCCACGTACAGTACATCGTCCAAAAAGACCTCAGCCTCGGTGTCGCCCACCTGATGATGATCTTCACTCGACCAATACCGGACGCAGAAGTAGGCGTCGTGGCGGCCACACCAACGACATTTGCACCAATAGTTTCTGGGTGAATTTTGTCGTGATGAGCAAAGTGAGAGCGATCTCCGGTCAGATGCACATTGGAACCTGCGTCGAAACGCCACCATGACGATCCCTCTGGTAGCGACTTGGCTATCTTGTCATCCTCACTCTTCGAGTCCGGAACGGCCAGCATCGGACTAACCATCGCAACGCCAGCAGCCACACCTTGCTCATCTTCAACAACTCCACGCCTGTCCGCACGGATTTCGCCGCCGCGACTCGTGTAGCTGGAGCGCTGCTGACGCCATTGCGTCCCAGCATTCGTCCCAGTGTTGCCTTTACTGGCGGTAGCCGGACCAGGCCCAGCAACACCATCGATAATAGCCGTACAGTCAGCCTGGAAGTGACCTATCTCTTTGCACCAGTGGCAAGTTTTGTTTTTCCTGTACGCTTCAGTTTTTGCTGACTATTACCGTGCCGATTATTCTTGCTCTCATTTTGCCCATTTTGCCCATTTTGTTGCTGATGCGGAGCCCTGTGCTGCATCCTTTTGTTATTAGCACGATAAATGAGTTTTGATGACGCTCAACTTATCACTGATCGCTTTAATGCGATCGAAGTATTTTTTCGAGACGAGTTTCAGATGTTCAGTGCTGAATTAAGTAGAAAAACAGCAGACTCTGGCTACATACTTTGCTGTTGTCCACTACCTGTATTAGATTTCCCTTGCGGCTTGTTCAACCAATGCCCGGGGTCCATCCAGAAGCTTCTCCGCCGAACACTCGTACTTCACTGTTCCGCGCAGCTGCTCATACCCGTACAGATCAGGAAGACTGTCCAGCATCATCTGCCTCATGTTGATATCCTTGCCGTCGTAGCCGTAACTCTTCAGTCCGACTTGATCCTAAACATCTTGGCCAGATGAATGCTCAAATCGCGTGTTGGCGAGCACTTGAGCTCCTTGAGCTCATCGCACTTCCGGCGAATGGTGCTCTCCTTGATCACCGGGTCCATGCGCCTCTCGTAGATCTCGTTCACATCTGCCCACATCTCAGTGCCAATCTCTAAGTGTCGACCTGCTGCAGGCGGTGTGGCGGTATCGCCGACGCGATCATGCGCTGGATCTTGCACTGCTGGCGATCAAAAGCTATCTTCCCTTCTGCAGTGCTGAGTTGGTCTCTCTTGAGCCTGCCCTCCGCGATTTTGAGGACCCCATCCTCATGGAACGTCATCCACAGAAGCCACTTGCGCTGACGCCAATCGATCTCTTCGCCGTTGCGAACTGGTGGAAAGCTGCTAGACCACTGTTTTTTGGCCTTGTCCAAGAGCACCAGCATGTCCTCGCGTTGTAAATCCATTGTTCCTAGGCGTTGTATCGTTTTTCCCCTAGCGCAACTCGCTTGGGCTCATCCCCCCCTGTTGGAATGTGGATGGTGAAAGAGCAACTGATGTATTCAAACCAAGGCATTCTCCCTGCACCTAGCTCCTAGAATATGCACCTGGATCGTGATCCCCCCCGAGGCCCAGAGAAACCCCCGCGACCCCTTAGGCCACTTCAACCGCCAACGGCCATATAGATTATCGTATCCGGATCCATTTTCCAACACGTAAAGCTTTAACAGCATTGATTCACCATTCATAGTTTTCAGGCTAGCTGTTGTTCCAGGGCTATAGCTGACAAGGTTGTGTACACCATTGTGATATGCCTTCGCAGAGTCATTTTGTTGAAGCCCGCGATCAGTGAGGCAAAGCTGCTTTTTCGTGATAGTTAGCGTTGGCATGCCATAATGTGTAAAACTCCTGCTAGCGAAGTCGAAGTATCTCTGTTGGGAACGAGCCATAAATATGGGTCGCGACAAAATTATAGGATTTGTATAGCACTTGATTTTGAAACATGTTTAACGGAATATTCGACATGTTATCACAGTAAGAAATATGTCTGTTGGATGACCAGAACTATTCTTTGAAAAATAATGGATCCTGCTCAATCGCTTACTTCTGCAGAAGCTGCGTTTCTCATTGACATAAAGCTGTCATTTAGATGCTACAAATTTTACAATCAGCGCTTCTTTCGAAAAAGATAGATCGGTCATAACGCGATATAATTCACCTAATAAAATATTTTAGGGAGCGAATAAACAAATCATCAAGCACGAGATTTCAGTTCTATTGCTGTAAAAAACGCTTTAACGTAACAAATTATTGAAGTCTGGATGATTATATGAATTTCCGATAGCTATACACCTACTAATATATGATGTAATGTCAAGAACGTGCTGCGTTTAGCAGGCTAGACAAACAATACCAAACTTGCATTTGATAGCTCCGAAAAAAACGCAGGCTGTCTCGAAGGCTTAATTGATATACATCGCTTCATCATTTGAGCTTAAGTGCAGCTGGAAGAACAACAAACAACGCAGACGCGGTTTCTTCTCGTCAACCTTTCATTGATTTACTTCACTGTGCATGCAGCAGGAAAATTCAAACCTCAACTCATTGCTGTCAAGAAAATGCTAGAAAATTTGATAGTCTGGTATTCATTATTTGCCGAAAAGCTTAAGCAGATCAGCAACGGTGCACTTTGCTGTTCAACGCAGCATTAAAACAAGTAGACTACTGCTGTTTGCTGGTGATGTAATGCTGCACCTCTACTGGATTGGCCTTATAACCCTGTAGGCGGAAGGATGAGTTCTGGTACGCCCACAAGAAACCCCCAAGCGAGCCGAGAAACCCTGTGACTACCATGGATGGCACAGCTACGTGGCGGTGTAATTTAAGTCCTAACGAATACGCCAATAAGTTTTCAGTCGACATGGTTAGCTGCTATAAAAATGCGCGCACCGAATACATAGCCGGCAGGGAAGGATAAAGCACTGACGCCAAGCCATCGTGTGTAATCACCAGCGCCAAAGTTATGTTTGATGTCGTCAAAAGTTGGGTGCTTGACGATCACGGGATAGCGTGGCTCGCGTGGGTCGAAGTCTTCACTCATTGAAAAGTACCAGTTTTGTATGTTTGTGTCCAATCATATGAATGCAGATACAGAAAAACCTGGTAATATGGATATGAACACCTAGATCTCTATTACGTTAGGATGGTCATCTAAGATAATATTCTATTCTAGTTTTGTCATAGATGCATTATGAGCAACGTAATTTGTCGATGAATAACCATATAAGGGCAAAAATGACCAAATGTTCTGACAACAGCGTCGTAGTACTGGCACACTGTCCAGAAAAACAGTGATGATATTTACTCAAAGACCAGTTAGCTGTAGAATTTATCTTGCAACCAGACTTATACTGAGGTGACGTCTCCATCATTTTAGCTTTAAGTTTCTGTGGGAGAGCACAAGGTCCTGAGATGGTCAAAGGTATTTAGCTTGTCAGACAGTCACCGTGATCAAGTTAAGCAATTGCACAAACACAATAAGTTGTGCTCTTCCAACCCATGTCAGCAAGGAACAGAGTGGGAACGGCTAAATAAGTTGCGAAATCAGTTAAAGATGTCAATAGGACCTCTGCGGAGGCTGAAAGTTAGTTCTCCTAGATTGTTTATGGTCTGCAAGGGAAATAAGCGTGAATTCCGGCGCCCTTGAAAAAAATACAATCCTTATCAAAGTGGTCAAATCGCGGTTTAGCATAATCGCTTGCTTCGAAAATACTAAGAGTTCCCTAAACTTTCGCTTCAGCGATCAGCAACAAGAAAGGTTGAGACTTTTTTATTCAAGTAACAGATAGACTTACTCATCTTCTTTCTTAATCGATTGAAATCGTGCCACTTCGGCGTCGTTGCGGCCAAATCCTTGCAGACGTAGCGACGAGTTTTGGTACGCCAGCATGACACTACAAACTGAGCCAACAAGACCCGTAAACCACATTCCAGAACGCGCCAGACTACGATCCAATTGTTGAGCTAAGAAAACAATAAAGCAACCAACAACATAAATGATCCTAGACAGTTACAGCGCCATAGCCAACGCACCAACGATGTATCCAAGCGGGAAGAAAGCAACACTCAAGACAGCACTTTGAATTATGTCACCCTGACTCACATTATCGCGCACTTGTTGAAATGTTGGGTTCTTATAAATCACTGGAAAGCGCGGAACGTGCGGATCATGTAGCGTAGGTCGGTTATTCTTGACTTCCATCCTATTCTAAATCTAATACTTGACATTTTTTGATTGGTTATTCTTATTCTATCTATCAAAGAGTTTTTCGTATTAAATTTATCAGAATCCTCGCTGCCATGGACGAAGTGTACGCCATCAAGCAAACGCAGTTTTTGGGGAAGCCCATTCATTATGTGTGCCAAAGTGCAAATGGACCATGTCCACTTTTGGCTATTGCCAACGTTTTGCTTCTGCGAGGGCAGCTGTCGCTTGAAGGGGTCATTGAGACCCCTGGTCATGTAAGTGCACATAACCTCATGCATCTCGTGCACCGCCGTCTTTTAGACACAAACCCACCGGTACGTTGCATCTTATCATTTATCAAGGCGATAGAGAAATTGTTTTGATTGATTTATTGATAATGTAGCTGAATAATGCAAGCGAGCTAGAGCGACTAACGCAGGAGAAAACACTGAAGGACGTTGCTGAAATGTTACCAAAGATGTTAGTGGGACTTGATGTCAATGTGCGATTTCACAAGTGAGTTGTATGAATTTGTAAAAGCTTCGTTTGTGATTATACTTATTGGTTAGTTGATGTTGCCAGCATTACAGACTTTGAGTACACAGTAGCTTGCGCAGTATTCGACATGCTTGATATTGTGCTAGTGCACGGCTGGCTATTAGATGAGCAGGACATGAAAACGGTGAGGTCAAAAGATGGCGAGATGACACTATCAAAGTGATCACTTATAAGTGTCGTTTGGTTCAGATGGAAGTAGTGGGTAACAAGTCGTACAACGAATTGATCGAGCGCTTGGTTGACTATCGCGGTGTACTATTGACAGAAAATTCAAATGAAGCTGAGAAACCGATAGATGTAGAGGCACTAGCCTCGAATATAATCGTCAAGCCAGTTCAAGGAGAAGAGGAGAAATGTACTCAAATGAAGGCACAAGAGTCTCCGCTAGCAGCTCAGACGACAAGAATACAGAACCTGTCGATTGACGTTGGTTGTGCACAAGCTTCGGATCACACTTTAGGAAGTCCAAACTCAGGCACTGTGATGATCTTGCCAAAAACAAGTCCTTCGAAGCAGACGTTGGAGACCATGATGATGGAGCGTCACATGAGTGATGCAGATGCGTTGGATACAGCAACTACTTTATTAGATGAGGGGCCAATACTTGAAGAATTCTTTAATTTAACTGCTAATCAACTCACCTACTACGGACTCGTGAAGCTGCATGAAGGTGTTCGAGAACGCCAGCTTTGTGTTTTTTTTCGAAATAATCATTTCTCAACATTGTTCAAGGTACGTGAGTCAAGGTTCTATTTTATGACGCGCTGACAATTTGCGCTTGCGTAACTTACCTTAGTTCGAAGGCGCTTTATATCTCCTGGTTACTGACGCTGGATACCTCGAAGAACCTACAGTTGTGTGGGAGTTACTTAATGGAATAGACGGTGACACGGCGTACTTGGACGCACAATTTCGCCCTGTGACATTTTCAGAGCACCAGAAAAATATCTTGACGCAGCAATTGCAGCAGCGAGAACAACAGCAATGTACAGATCAAGAGGAGCAGAAAGCGAGCGATAAAAGCCTTACTGGTCGCAATTTTTCGAAAAGTGATGGCGAGCTGAACACAAACGGTATCAATACTACCACGACTGGCGATCCTTTGCTACAAAGTGAGGTTAATATAGAAGAAAAGGATGAAGACTATTTGTTGGCTTTGAAAATTCAGCAAGAAGAGGAAGTTGCATGTCATAACACGCGTGTGTCCCCTCGCCATTTGCAGGCTGTTGAAAAAAGGCTTGGAGATAGCAAAAATGTGGGAAGTTCTTTGGGTGACGAACATGCGGCCATGTCTGTCAGTGCTGATGGACTAATGATAGTCTCAGAGGAAGAACTTGAAGCTCAGCGACAGGCTGAGCGTTTTTATGAAGAAAAGAAGCGGCAAATTGACGCACAATCGCGACAAATTGACGCACAATCGCGACTGCGGCAACAGCAATTTCAGCCACACAGTTATGGTGCTCCAAGGCGAAGCTCCACAGCAAGTAGTGATTGCAACATATCGTGATTATATGACTGGTTTACTACGTTTATATATTAGGTAGAAAAAGTTGAAATGATGAAAGAGCATGAAAAAGTCTTAATAAATATTTGTTTTGATACAATTCCCATTCACTACTGACGTTTAACATCTTCATACACCAGTGTCATAATCAACTTCAGGATTACAATCCTCGCAAGTGCTTTGTTGCTCGTTACCGCTAATTCGCGACATAGTATTGTCAGTAGATTCAATCATGTCCTTGGTAGTACTAGTTCGAGAAGATGTCGATAAATTTAATACAAGTGGAGTGAGGGAGCTATTCACACTTGCATTGGGTGGACGCACATAGTCGAAGCCGGTAAAATCACGCTCAAAACAACTGGCAATTTCATCCGGGGCGTATAGCGTATGTGGTTGATCTGTAAAGTGCGGATCAAAATTCCCCACAAGATTTTCACCAGAAGGTCCTGGTAAAAGTGGCGGTGTTAATTGACGTTTAAGCACTTGATCCCAGTCGATTCCTTTAAAAAACTTGTGACGCTTAACTTCTGCGACTCCACTACTGTAACCAAGTCGATCTTCTTGACGTTTTACAAGCAAAGCCACCAACAAACTCTTCAATTCGCTTGACATGTTGTTTGGATAACGAACAGATTGATACAAAATTCGCTTGTGTGTACTTTTCTGACTAGATTGAGGCAAGTAAAATGGAGGATATCCAGCACGCAATTCAAAGAGAATGCATCCAAATTGCCAAAGATCAACCGACAAACCATGACCATCCGGATACCGACCGACCATTTCCGGCGGTAAATAAGTGTCTGTACCGCACATGGTATTTGTCCGTCCATTTCTAGAATCCATTTGTTTGGCAAGACCCATATCTGCCAGCTTAACGTGACCTTCGTTGTCCAATAAAACGTTCTCAGGTTTGATATCACGATGTAAAATGCACATGTTGTGCATGTGCTCGAGAGCAAGTAACAGCTCAGCTGCGTAGAATCGAACAGCATCTTCACTAAAGCTTCCTCCATTGTTCTGCATATGTAAAAAGAGATCACCACCTTGCATAAATTTAGAGATTAAAAACACTGAGCGACCTCGTGCTAGTGCAAAGTCCAGACCCATAATAAATGGATGGTTTCCAACCCACTCCATGGCACCCCGTTCGGCAAATACAACTTTTGCTTTCACCTGACCAAGTTTCATCTCCTTAATTGCATACAATTGTCGATCTGCGGCGTACGATGCTAATATCACACGACCATAGTGACCACGTCCTAGTAATTTCAGCGATGTGAAATCATTCAAAGATGGCAATCGGTGTTGTACAGCTGCAGCTTGAGCAATAAACTTCGCTCGATCCTTTTCTGAATCAGCCGCAAAGTAAACAGATCCTCTTCCCGATTCGGGTGTGATGCAGAACACATAACCAGCAGAATCGTCATCAATAAGTTTAATCTTGCAGTTCTGTAAATTCAAATATTTCATTGCATTTTGCTGCCAGAAGCCAGGCACTTTTGTATCTTCCAATGTTGTTGCTCGGTAAAACACCAAAAATGTCGACTTGATCAAAGCGCAGTACTTATGCGAACTCCATACAGGTAGTAGCTGTCGCCGTTTGCGAAACAAGTTCATAAATGTTGACGGCAGCGAACTAATAAATCGCTTTGAATCTTCGCTCAGAATTGAATCCTTGCGCTGAAACAGTAGCACCATGTTTCAGCGAAGAATCAAATCAAATTATGACTGCAAGCATTGCAACTTGCCAAGAACTTTGACTTTATAAATACGAGGGAAACATGGGACGAGGAAAATATTCGCTTAGCAAACGCCAGTAAATCCTTGCGATTGCAAGCCAATGATTGTATTGTTCAACGCTTAAGCGTTTCACCGGGATATGTTAGGACCCTACCAAACTAAGACCAGAACTTGAGGGCCTGGGGCCGCTTAAAATCAGCTAGTCATACAGATCCGCTGCAACAAAACCTTCAAGAGTTGGACTACGGACATGTGCGAGCAAAATTTTGACTCGCTGAATAATATTTCTTTACTCACCTCTTACTTGTCTTCCTTCTTTTCGTCATCATCCTTATTCTCGTCGTTGTCCTTCTTCTCGTCTTTCTTTGTCATCTGTGCCATTGCAGCCTGAATCTTTGGGTCATTTGGATCTACTCCCGGTAGACCTGACAGTAGAGAATTGACAAATTTGGGGTCCATGAAAGGTAAGTTGGATGCTGGGGCGGGCGGAGGTCCTGACGTAGTGGCCGAGGAACTCGCCGACGCTGGATTTTGTGTAGTTTGTCCGTGTTCAGCCAAATTGTCCGTGCCTGGAGTCGAATTAGAAGTTAGTGCTGGGGATGGGACTGGAGCAGTCGCAGAAGCGGCTTCTGCTTCTGCTTCTGCTGCTCGCTTCTGTGCAGCCTCCTGTCGTGCACGTTCCTCTTCCATCGACACACGAAGCGCCTAAACAATAAGCAATACAATTCACGCGCATTAACGCTTCGATGCTCTCCCCAAAATTGCATCATCTCTCGTACCAGGGCCAGTTCGGGATCCATGCTAGGATCCACACCGCCGTACTCTGCGAAGGCGTCGCTACCACCGCCACCACTGCTGGAAGCGGCAGCAGCACCACCATCGTCTCCATGTAGTACTGGTGAAGATACCAGCACATCTGAGGGCAATACACCCGCTGGTACCGTGACTAAATGGCTGTTATTATTGCTGCTAGCGGCATCAACAAATGCCTGTAGCTTGGATGCGTTGGTGTCCATATCGCCCATGCTCACCACATCTACAGCAATCTATAGAGAGGAAAGAAGAGAAAAAATTTAATCAGTAGAATGTGGATATTGCATGATCGGCATTTAAGTGCACAAACGTTATTCTTCTTTAGTAGCTTGCCAATTTTTGTGAGCTGTTTTTCATCTTCTTCAATCGGAGATCCAATAAAGACAACGACACGTTGTCCCCCGGTCTTATTACGACGATGTTTGAGGGCTAGTTGTGCAACTTGGATAGCGTTGGAAAGCTTCATAGAGCCACCAATCTTAACGCCATGGATAGCGCTAAGCAGGGTGCCCATATTGTCTGTAGGTGAAGCTAGCACCTGGACACTTTTTCCAGCCATGGCAAGTACACCCACAGTACTTTCTGGATTGGCCTGTGTCTTTGTTCCACATAGAAGGTTGGCAGCGTCGTGCTGTGCTTCCAGACGCGAGGGAATGTAGTCGCCATTTCGCATCCACTCCGAGTTGTCTAAGCTGTGAGTTTACGTCATTTTAAGATTTATAGGTTCAAGTTCTACCTAGAGATTACAAACGCACCAAATCATCGTCGATTCGAGCGGCATCGTGGCGTTCTTAAGAGCTTATAGCACAGAAGATCGGGGCAGGTCGTTAAAGAGAACAGTGACTTATGTCGAAAAAATAATGCTAAAAAGTTTTATGAAATTTCAATATCCCAGTGTGATACATTTTATCCGAATTCTGTATGACGCAGTCGGACAAGACAAAAAGCCACTGGCGCGTATTGCGCAATGCAATTGTACGGTCAACATCTAATGATACATCATCATCATCAGTCGATATAACGAGGACTACAGCATCTTCTATTGCCACCGATTTTTTCCCGCTGTGTCCAGTGTCTTTTGTTGACACAGTAAAGGTCTCAATGCACACACCTGCAAAAGATAATTTCGCGTGGATGATGTACAACTTATCAGCAGCAATAGAGAGTGAGACGGAAAGATCGATAACTGTCGTCGTACATGAAAAGCGAAAGGACGTCAAATTTGTGCCTATTTCGGAGCTGCAGAGTCATCAAATGAACAACGGCGTGGACAATACGGGCAACATTCGCACGTGGCCGTCCGAACAGATTTTATTATCATACATAATCTCAAGTGGCATTCTTTCGCAGATACAAAGCGTAGGTAGACCGGAATTGCCTGTATCATGTTGTGAACTAGGAAGCGGTATGGCAGGTCTTGCATCCTTGGGGCTACTAGCTTGTGCACCTGTCGACTTTGAGCGCGTTGTAATAACGGACGGTAATTTGCTATGTGTGAATAATTTGCAGCTATGCGTTGCAGAGAATCAGAGACAAAATACTTTCCCTGCTCGTGTAAACAACACGAAAATCACAGCGGAGCTTCTGCGCTGGGATCGCAATGCCACTTTACGCAAGGATTTGCAGCAACAATTTGATCTTGTCTTCGCAAGTGACTGTTTATTCTTCGAAGAGTTTCATGAAGACCTCGCACATACCATTAAAAACCTATTACGTCGCGGCTCGGGTCGCTGTCTCCTCTTGCAGCCAAGTCGCAGCGGCTCGTTAGACCGCTTTTGTGTCATTGCTAAACAATATGGTTTTACCACTACACAGTCCAAAGATTTTGACCCAACAATCGTAGAAAAACACCAAGAGTATCAACAAACGCGACCAGATTACGTGCCCGATGTACATTTCCCTGTCCTGCTCACGTTGACGTTAAATATATAATGTTGAGTTGAAGTTGTCTCCACTAAGTTCGTCTTAAGTTTGTACTTAAGCACGTATATTTTAAAAGCTAAGCTCCTTCGAGTTACGTCAAAGCTACCGGCATTGCACCCCAGCGAGCTTAATGGCCCGTCCTTCGTCCGCTAACGTATCTGTAATCTAATCTTTAAGCTTGTTGCTATTTCTTGCGGACATACTGACCGTGTTGCTATGTACTCATTGCTTGATATTGAAGAATGAGATGGGCAATGTACGCGTATGCTGTCGGGTACGTCCGCAAAACGCAAAAGAACTGACAATGGCATCAGCTCAGCGGTGTGTTTTTACTGAGAATGAAACGATTGAAGTTAAGGTGTGGACAAATAATCAACTTAACAATGCACGAAGAGCTCAGTATTTTATTGCGTATGTCTATCACAGACTTGTGACGGAAGTCCGCAGAAATTTACATTTGACCATGTGTTTGGAGAGGAATGTGATCAAAAGACGGTCTTTGAAAATGTCGCACTGCCTGTTGTACAAGGTATTACCAATTATTTTGGATAGTCTGAAGGAATAGTTTATCAACTGCTTTTATCGTTGCATGGCAGATATTATGGCTGGATACAATGCAACCATTTTTGCATACGGTCAGACGTCTTCGGGCAAAACATATACAATGGAAGGGGCTAATATTGACGACCCGGAATTACAAGGTATCATTCCGCGCACGGCAACCGAGATATTTAATAACGTGCTCAATGCTGACGAAAACATGGAATTTATCGTGAAAGTAAGCTACATTGAAATATACATGGAACATATTCGTGATTTATTGGATCCATATAAGTCGAAAGTGAATTTGCAAGTTCGAGAGGATGCTCAACGCGGTATCTTTGTCGAAGGGATGACAGAGATGTGTGTAACCAGTGATGAGGAACTTCTAGCGACTATGCGAGCTGGTGCAACTAATCGTGCTGTGGCAGCGACGGGTATGAATGAAGGAAGCTCTCGTAGTCACAGTGTTTTTATGGTGACTCTCCTGCAACGACATCTTGAAAATCAGGCTACAAAGACTGGCAAACTATACCTCGTGGATCTTGCGGGTTCTGAAATGGTGCGTAAAACTGGCGCGACTGGCCGTCAACTTGAAGAAGCCAAGACGATCAATAAATCACTTTCTGCTCTAGGTATGGTTATCAATGCACTTACTGACTCGCATATCACCCACGTACCGTATCGAGATAGTAAATTGACTCGAATATTGCAAGAATCACTGGGAGGGAATTCGCGTACAAATCTTATTATCAATGTATCTCCGAGCAGTTTTAATGCGTCCGAGACGATTTCTACCATACGATTTGGTTTGCGTGCAAAGTCAATAAAGAATAAGGCAGTGGTGAATGAGCAGCGCAGTGTCGCTGAGTACGAAGCTTTGCTTGCTGCAGCGGATAAAAAAATCGCCAAGCAACAGACATACATTATCGCTCTTGAAGCTCAACTTGCGGGAAAAGAGACATTAGAAGAGACTGTATCTGTAGCTGGTGTCGTTGGATCCAAAGACTTAAATGGTATCGCGGAAGTAGCGAAGACAGAAAATTCGAGCGACACTTTGGATCCGTTAGACGTTTCTCTAGAGCTGTCGAATAATCTGACGACGGAATCCCCCCCATCACCTACTGCCCGTGCTGGTCGCGCACTAGAAGAAATTCAAGAGAAAGTGACACAGTTAGAAGATGAACTGGCCGAAGAGAAACAAGAGTCTATGCGACGTGGTGAAGAAATTCGTCTGCTTACGGCAAAATTGGAAGAGCACAGCCAAGCACTGGAAACTCAGCATGTGCTCTCTGAGGAATTGCAGCGAGTCAAGGAATTGCAAGAAAAGACTTTAGAAGAGAAGATTCGACAACGTGACGCGCTCCTTGCTCAACTGCGTACTGAATTTGATCGACTTAATTTTGATCATAAGGAATTGATCATTCATTCGGAGACCGTACGGAAAGAATATGATGTCCTTTTACAAGAGATGGCTGCACAGACACCGCCTAGTGGTGGGGAGCTGGCAGCGGCAGCGGAAAAGATCGTTCAAATAGAGCAGTCAACAAATGATATGAATTCGGTCGGAGATAAGACTTTCGTTAAGCAAGAGGAAGATCTTCAACTTCAGCAGCAAGAATTATTCAACGAAGTGGTGAAGGAAAGCGTCGATATCAAGTCTCAAGATCACTCAGATCTTAAGGTCAAGTACACAGCACTTGGGATAAAATTAAGAGAGTATGAAAAGGAATTCTTGGCTTTTAAGCACGCTACGGAGCACGAAAAGACCCGTTTGCAAGAAGATATTGACCGCAAGACGGCGCAAATTCGGGATCTTGAAGCACGTGCAGGTCGTGCTGGTGCTTCTACAGGTGAAGGCGGTTCGACACCTTCTTCTCCAACCAACGTCAGTGGTATGTCGGCGCGCGAGCGCCAACACATGCGGTCTATCCAGCAGAAGTTGGAGCAACTTGTCGCTGTACACCGACAATTGTTGCGCAAGTATGCGTCATTAGATCTCGAATTGTCTGAGGCTAAGAAGAAACTCGTACTGCGCGATGAACGTATCAAACAGGTGGAAGCAAACAATCGCATCATGGCTGGAAATATGCGAGCACAAGCAGAAAAGCACGTGGAAGAGCTTACACATCTTCGTGACCAGATTGCTGACTTTCGTGGAGCTCAACGCTCACACTTTGAAGCACAATTCAATCACACGAACGCTGCCCTCGTTGCGTCCATGGGAAGTACCGACACAGGAGTCATTAAGACTTTACGTGGCGGTTTAAATTACGGTGGTGATGGTGTCATTCGCCCGATTCGTGGAGGTGGAAGACGCAAGACGCAACTCGAAGAAGCAGCCATGACCACAGCAAGCGTCTCCGCAGTCCCTGCGAACGATTCCGATGCTGGTGTGCCGACCTCTGGCTTCCTGACTCGCTTGTTCGGCAAGGCAAACTAATTAACTCAAAAATAACATCAACGAAATACTACTATTTCATAATAGTACCATCTTTGTATTATAGCATTCTTTTGACGTTGGTGGCACGTACGAGACGATGGCATCCGTGTATGATGAGGTAGAAATCGAGGACATGGAATATGATGCAGAGGAAAAGGTTTACTACTACCCGTGTCCATGTGGTGACCAATTTTTTATCGACCTTGACGAATTATACGAAGGCGAAGACATTGCTACTTGCCCCAGTTGCTCACTGACAATTCGAGTAATTTTCGATGCAGATATTCTGCCAAGACGTGAAGAAGAAGAGAAGTAACAAATGAGATGTATGACATGCCGCTTTATAAGAAAGAAAGCATCGGGCAGAGGAAGTTGATCGCTGCCCATCCCTATAATATAGAAGCACGGTCTGTCAAAGTCTTGGAGAAGAAGAAATATCAAGACATTAATGTGATTTTTTATTACCTCTACTATATATTATTTGCACGTGTTCATATCGTTGGCTTAACTGCTGAAATAACTCTTTTGCTAGCACTTTATACTTTTCTCCGGGTGATGTCGGAAGTTCCTGCTGGGTACACGGTCTTCCAAACACATTACACATTATTTGTAGCTACTTTATTGTCTGAACAATACAGTATTGTATTTTTTATACACTGAAGTATCGGTATGAGGAATATGTTGGGACTCCACAGAGGAAACGTGCCTGCTTCACATGGGCTGCTGGCTGCATGCCAAGTACAAGATATGGTCAAACTAATATGTCTTTTTCAGTGTTGGTGTAACAGAATAAATTTTGAATACATGTAACTCGTAAAATCGAAATGCTAACAAATAATACACTTAGATGACGCTCTCGTTTTGTTAGACCTGACAAAATCAGAGGATAGGCGGCTAATGGGTCAAATGCGGAATCTACTTCCCTGGAGGCTCACACCAGCTATGGGAAAGTGTTGGTGCGACAGCGCTTAACGAAGCGTCGGTGGTAGAAGAGATGGCACTCACCGTGAAGGCCAGGGCAGAGAAATATCTCTTTCTGGACAAGGAAAGTCAAGAGGGCCATAGATCTGGTCATGCTCCAAATGGATCAAGAACAAGGCAGCTCACGGGCTTCAAGCCAAATGGCCACTTGCCAAAATATGTGCTGCCTCGGTAGTTGAACCGGAAGATTCAAAACGACACATGTTGCGGGTGTTTGCACCGCCACACTAGGCGTATAGGTTGCATTTTAATACGCATGCCAATGGCGGTCAGAATCAGTGGATAATCTCGATGAATTTAGACCAAATTGTCACAAAGGCGTAAGATCTCCTTCCTGGTAACGATTACAATCCTCATGGTGGGCCTTAAATCAGTTGCGGCTCGCACCAAGAAATTTCATCAACCCTGCCTCATAAGGAAATTGAGAGAACCGTATTGCTGTGAAGTACAATTTTCATGTGGAGCAGTGCTAAAAAGGCAGATGCGCCAGTGAGGCGCGCTCTTCGGATGATAAGGGTAACACTAATGTATGTCGCAGCCCTTTGGTGTATCTTAGTAAATAATAGCTGCACTATGTGCGAGGGCCGGTAGAGAGTAGAAGCGACAAAGTGTTGTTTTTCTCCGTTCCAGATCCGTTACAGTTGAAGGAGACTGTAAGTCGCGAGGAGAAGGACCAGAAACAGACAACTCATTCTTAACGCAACTTTACGATAGTATTACCGTGCGACGTGCGCACGGTACGGAGCAGTGAAGATCCACAGATAAGTGACGAGAAATATAGCTAACTCATAATTGAATGGCCAAGTAAGTCGTGGGGGTCGGGAGTCTCCTGCACTTGGGCTGAATTTTCATCGGACAAATTATATCTAGGGTGCTTGTAAGAGAATGCAAGACTGTGGAGTCACTAAGATGGAAAATTTGAAATTGGAGGAGAAGCTACGCATATCATTCATCGTCGATGAATCGGTCAGTTAGAGTACCCGCAGATCACTCAATGCTAGGGGTGATAACTATTATCAGGATCCTACGAACTCGATTATCCTTCGTGCAGAGTTATCACAAAGTGGTGATGAGAGGACCTCCACCCGTGTTACCCCCAGATAACAGAAGGCGTCGCTAAATTGACTGAGCCCCAATAACCAAAACTGCATTGCACCGCAATGGCTATTATGAAGGGGACAGTGTGTGACGTATTTGACATTTTCGCTCTTCAAATATGCTTTGTTCTTTCCGTGCGAGAATTAGAGCGAGCGTCGTGAGAGCAAAAATGAATCTCTCTGGCTGGCAGAACACAATTGAAGTTGTGGTGATGAAAAGAGTATATTGTCTGCAGTTAAACTACCTACACATGCAGTGTCTGTGGTCTTTATGCTCAAATTGCGACCTTACTACTGTAAGGCCGTAGCAGAAATAATCTGGTTATACCATCAGCAATTCGAATGTTAAACATCCTGTACACTTTGTAAGCTTGCTAAGGCCATGACACGAAGTTTAGAACCAGCCACATGTGGCACTTTGTTTAAGACAAATTCGAGAACCAACAAACAAGGGCCGACTTCAACGACCCTACTCGATGCATACGAGTTTTTGTTCCGCGTGATTTGTATAGTAGACCGGTGAGTGCACCTGAGCTGTTATTAAAATCTGAAGAATTGATAGCGATGCCGTCGTTAAAAAATCAAGGAAGTTTGAGGTACCACTTATGGCAAATTGTTCCGGTGACGCTATCGCTTACGTTCTGGCGCACCCTTGCCCTGGAGACAAAGCAGAGTATCGCGTTACAGCGCGCTTCTGACAGGTGAGTAGTATTCAACCTTATGGCGAATTCGATGCTTGGTCGGTAGTGAAAACAACTGTCGTATAGATACAAGCGAGGCCAATAGTCGCAGAAAGTAATGAATAAGGATTGTTTGTCCAGCATTCTCGACCTGCTTTGTACTTTCCACAGTCAAGTATCAGCCGGCATGATCCTGGATTGTTAAGCCTCAAAGCGGTTTAGATGGCACGTTTTCTCTGGCGACCCGATCGCAAGCCGTGTAGATACCATATCCATGATTGTCATTCTCAGTACCTCAACATTATATATTTTGTTTTGACATTTGTGTGCCGTACGCAACTGGATAACGCTTCTGAAATCATTTTAAATTTCCGCGAATCACATAGTCCAGCGCGTACATTGTTGCATTCATCAACTCTGATCTTTAAGCCCACCTCACTTAGAAGAAGGGGCTGTCCCTCTAAGGCCAATTTTCATTTTTCTTGAACTAATCAATGTAAAGTAGAATCCATTTTTAATATATCATCTAACGCCAAAAGAAAATCGATATTTCCCTTGAAAAGCTGGTCAGCCGATTCTGTAAAGGAATCGGTTTTTGGACAATGTAGCCGAGAGACAAAAATTTGTTTCCGTCGCCGTGTTTTACATCTGAAAGTCTCAAAATGCTGATCCGCATCTTGATCACCCATCCCTTTCTTCATATCGTGGCTGTAACCATCAATTCTGGCTCGCTCAAAAGGCTTACACCTCCCAAACTTTGAAAGGCCCTCAAAGCTCGAAAGGTGTGCTCTGCATTTGAATTGACGCCGTCCACGTTTTCAAAATAGGAAAAGTGGATTTAAAAGGTATTAGTTAAAGCCGCAACTACTCTGAACCTTTCATGAAGTTAGTAACCGTTGTCTTTTTCGGAAAAAGTTAGGCCACTGTCGCGTCGATGAGGATCTATATCTCCTAAACGTAGCCCGCCAATACCTGCCCCTCTGGAAGGGCCGACAAAATCGTGTTTGCATCGATACGCCTGCTCAAGCATAAAAAATGCTGCTCGTGTTAACTACGAATCTTTTGTTGAGGCACCAAAACAGAAGAACCCAAGTTTGCGCGCTGCTTCCTAGCACGGAGACTGCTAGCGCTACGCGCTGTTTCTCCTTCTAAATCGTCGCCAAGTTTATATGGCCATCTTAGATAATAATACCTGAGAGAGATCTTCGCCGTTTCTGATCTCAAAAGGGCTGGATGCTTAGCAAAAGATGTATATTGGAGAATAGACAGAAAGTACTGTGCAGGTACACCAGACCATACTACTCCCGCCATATAGATTGGGTTTGCCACAAAAGTTTGGCTGCATCTACATCAGCGAGAGCATGTTCAATTTTCCACTTGCTGTTAAACGCAATATGAATCACTATCTCTTGTGTTAGTATATATCGTGAATTCAAAAAATTTTCCAAGAAATAGGTATCTTCATTACACACTTTCTGATCTTGATATCAACCCTCGATGGAGCTATTGTTCCGATGAAGTAAGCTTCTTTTGAAAGAAATGGAAAGGACCAATATCACCCGTTAAGACTTACAATTTCCACATTACGCTCTGCGCTTTATGTGTGTCCCCATGATGAGCTTATTCATCCACGGCAAAAATTGAGCATAACTTCTTGTACCAAATGTGTTGGTATTTGAAAAGCAAGGATGGATTATTTACCTCGTCAAGCCCACCCACTTTAATGTAGAACCACAACAGGGTTCACATCTAATCTCTTACGTCACTTTACAAAGGAAATCTCTTCGCAAGAGCCAGTTCCTTTAAGAATTTTACTCCACTCGCGGCGCTGTAAAGTGCTGATCCTCCGGGAAAACTTGCTTTCGGAGTCCGCTCTCACGCACCGGGCACGACGATGGAATGGCTTCCATGCAGGATGCGGAATTGTTTGAAATTGATAGCGATGGTTTTGCTAGGCTCCCTGAGCAGAGCTCGGTAGGAATAAGCGGCAGTACGCCGCTTTTCAAGGATGAGAATGGAATAAAAAGCGGTGTATTAGTGCCCCCAGAATGTGTTTCTATTAGAATGTAAATAAAAGCTGTTAGCTGATGTCTCTTGGGCGAGGGCCGGTGGAGAGTGAAAGCGACTGTTTGTTGCAGTCTCGGTTCTCGAGCCGATGGGGGTGGAAGGACAACTGTAAGACGCAAGTAGAAGCACCAGAACTGGAATGTAAGAAGAATGACTATCTTTGTCGCGATATTCTGGTGCTGTTGAGCTGGTACAACTGTATCAAAGGGCCAACGTGCGAAGCATTGAAGCTCCACGAGTAATAACGATAATTGTAACCCACATGCAAATTGAATGGCGTATAGATCGTAAGTCTTTTTTTATTATCTTGGAAAGATTCACCGACTAAGAGAAAGTTTTTCCGGCGGTAACGGCAAGAAAATGCATAACTGTGGGTCGCTGAAATCTTGTTGATACCGGAGTAGATTGTTGGAATGATATGCTGATCAGAATCAGCGATATCACTCTCCCTGCGGTGTGCCTTCTGGGCGACACGCTCTGTGAAGAATTTGTTAATGTTACATAAACTGTTTAATACACCAGAGACGTTATATTGTCTGGTGTTTAGGCCCCACCATGGCTACGCACAAACGCATTTTGACGATATTTTCGTCCATTGTCGTGCAGGGCACGAGAAGTCGAATGCAGGCTTCCATATTTAACACTCGCGGGTTGTGCTTGAGTCTATTCGCTTAGATAACCACTTCCCAACATAGACAAGTGTGTCTATGAAGCCGCCAGAATATTCTTTCTAGGTTGCTTCATTCGATAGCAGAGCATGCAGGCGCATCTCGCAAAGATCAAAGTCATTGTTGATAAATCAGTGTCTATGTGGCATCTAATCACACAAGCTTATATGCAAAGTATGCCGACATGGCACCATCCGTTACCTATCTCCTTGAAGTGGCGCCAAATAGTGTCGAAACATGGCCAACAAGGCGACCTTTGATAATATGCATGACAGACTCGTGAGCGGCCCGATTCGATCCTATTTGAACCCGAATAGGTTCTTTTATGCTATTTGTAGAAGTTATGACTTAGCCATAGGCCGTGCTTTACTCCAGGATGATGCCGATGGGCATGAACGAGTGATCGCGCATGACTAACGCCAGCCACAAGCTACTGAAATGAAGTACCCTGTTCACGACAGGATATTATTTGCAGTGCAGTATGCCCTCGTCAAGTTCATTGTGTCCCCGCTTGACTCCAAGCCAGATACAATCTATTCAAAGTAAGCGTTGTTGCGCGCAGTGATGTCTTCACATTTCTCTCGGAGAATTGTAAGGTGACTATTCTTATCTGCCGAGTAAATATTTGAGGGGAGGTCATAGACGACTGTGCCTGATGTGATGGCGAATGTACCAATTCGTCGCCTCGACAATGATCGCATGCCACACGCTTGGCTTGCCATGAGATGCGGTGATATATACGGCATGTGTTTGATACGCAACTTGTGTTGTGCTATTGAATGCCTTGGAAAGCAAGATGCCAGAAAACTAGCATTTCTTTACCGACGAGTGCACTATAGTTGCATCGCTATTTTGTATTCTGATACTTAATAAATACAGCACTAATCAACATAACAATCAGCTTGTTGTGGTGCCTACGGATAAGAGCCTCAAGTACAATATATTGTTCGAGGCACATAATACGGTTTTGCGTGACCTTTTGGAAAAACAAAAAAAAATATGTTGCTCTGTGGTATTGGTGTTCAAACACGTATTGGTGGGTGAGAACATACGTGCGCATGGGTGAGACTCGTCAACGCCTTCCATCTTACTGCATGCGGTGGCACCTTTGATTAGCTTCCCGATCTCGGCGGCTTACTGATGGTCTATGAAATAAGTTAATTTTGATTATTCAAATGACGAGTCCGGAGATATCAGTATGGTGGGATTTACCAGCTGTCGGAGCATAATGAAGGATACTGAGATCCGCGCATCACAGCATTAATTTTAGGTGCCCGACGCCAGATAATTGACGTGACCGCTGACCAAGCACGTTATCTGCGTTGTGGATTATCCACTGAATCGCTTGCGTAAAGTCCCGTCGTTGGTGAGCTGATTTCCTACCACTCGTTAAGCTTTCGTTTAAAAACGCAGTATATGCTATATTATGACTTGTCCGACTATAAGATGTCATTGACATCGTCACAAAACGGATCCCGTCTCAGAAGGGAAGGGAGTGCCGCTCAGATTTCAGTTGTTGGTACCGGTCCTGCTTCACTTCAAAGTAGAATTAGTGATGATATATGTGTGCGATGCCGTAGAATTGAACCAAGACAGACAATGGAGCACACCGGTGCGAATGGCAGGTGAGACACGTAAGAATATGTTACAGAGAAAACATCATATTGAACGCACTAATTTTACCAGCTCCTGCAGTATATGCGGTCTATATGACTAAGCTGCGACTAAGCTACATCAGACCACTCACGATTGTAGCAAAAATGGAATTTGTTTTATACTTGAAATAGCCCAAATTGAGCATTTTCACATTTAGTGTTCTAGAAGGCTCTCCAAAGGTATCTGCAATGTCACTATTACGAGCCAGTCAGACATGAAGAGCTCTGTAACGCTTAAAGCAACGTCTCTCCCACGATCCCCGTAGCCGAGCTACCTCCCTTTCTACAGCATTTGCACGAACTAAACCGCTGAGGAATCACATCAGGCAGTGCAATGACGAATCTCGGGAAGCTATAATACCTCTCTCAGCGTTAGACACACACCGTGAAACTTAAAAAATCTACGTGCTGCGACAGCCGGTAAAGCTCACGAAGCCCAGCCATAATAAATTTTTATCTCTGCAAGCACTGCGTGATGAGCAGAAAGCGGCCCCGTAGAGCGTTAAAGGAATTGGCGGATATACTAAGGCCTTTACCACTTTGGAAAGATTACCCTTATTTTTAACTATAACGAATTTGAGGTTTTACTTTTGCAAGATTGCCCTGGTGCCGTGACCTCTTACAGAGAGAGAAGCCCGTCGTGGCGCTCTTTTTACTAGCGGGAGGCTACTGACCAAGCGGTAAAAGACCCTTATCAGTAACCGTTATTGTTGGATCATGAAGATTAGCGGGGCTGCTAGCAGCGGGAGCTCTTGAGTTATGAGTTGCCACGACGCTCTCTTCGTGATTTGAGCTTTGCAAAGTCAAGCATGGGACGACGCTCGTGGCGGACGTCTATTTTGCTGAAGCTAGACTGTGAAGCCTAATGAAAGGTGAGGCGGCGCGTTTTTATTACCCTCTGCGCCTACTGCGTTGTAATTTCAGCGTCATTTTGCCAGCTTTTAGTACATTACTCTTGAAGGGTACAGTTTTCCCATACCGCTGCTGCTCCAAGCACAGATGGTAATCTTTGGGAGCAACTACCTGCGGTCAAGCAATCGCTCTCTTCTTAACGCTATTCGTGTTGCGTTTTGATTCAGTGCGGCATGCTGCTTCGGACGATTGATATCACGATTTGATTTTTGAAAGGATCGGCGTTACGATTGCACATGTCATATAGCAAGCTGGGCTCCTTAAGTCAAGTCAGACTTGTTGATGACGTAAGAATATTTTCGCCTCCCCCGGAGTCTAATCTTCGCGCAACGTGGAGGTTGAGCACTGTGAAAACCACATAAATGACTAGGTCGTGTATCGCCGAGTGAGCGCGGAGTGGTTTGGTCGGGACTAGGAGAGTCACTGAAAATGCTCTCGTTGTATAAATTTCTGGCGCCCTCACCAAAACCCATTTAAGCGCGTCTGTTGCGAAAATCGTGGTCTCAGCGAAGCTCATTGAAGAAATTGGTTTACGTCATTAAACCTGCTTTCTGTAAGAGATTGATTCACAAACCCTTAAAGCTATTCAAAAAAAAGTTTATGGAACCTAACCCATTTTATGTGAGGATGACATATGGCTCATAGCGCTCTAGCATCGCCATATCTAGGATGCAATCGTATGAAAAATTCAGGTTAAGGACCAACCCAAGTTCGACATTTATTAAAGGTTTTCAACCTAACGTGAACGAATTACTAGCAATTTCGTATGAAAACGCACGGACGCCGTATTTGTATTTGAGAATTAATGCCCCCCGCGAAGTGTCTGCCGTGCTTGAAAGTCGCAGGACGTACGTATCTGCACGACGATTCTGGATTTCTTAGGATTTCTCGCAACTTCACAATGCCCGGGCGTTAATTACAACTATCCTAGCAGTGGGCCCCAACATATTGAATGGAAGTCGCTCCATCAAAAGTAGATCCTATTAATTGCTACAACAATGGAAGTTTGCTCTTTATTAGTTGGTGTAGACTGGCCTACTGGACTTTGCAATTCTACTGTGAGGGTTTCGTCGTCCGACCTCGCCTGGCGGCCCGACCCTTCGCACTTCTCAGCTCACTACAAATAGGGTGACACATATATTATGTACTCCCGTAGGTGAAATGATTGCAGGTACCGCAAGCTACCCGTAATTTTGAAATTTCTCTCATCTCCATCAGCACCGCTGGGGTCCATCGTCCTTGGCACGTACTTTGAGCTGACATTTCCAGTACCTCATCGTGCTCTCGCAGAACAAACGTTGTGTTTCGTATTTGGTGCAATATCCACCGTTTTCTCGAGAGCGGAAGGGTGTAGAGGTAGCCGTGTACGGTTAGGGTGCGAGTCGCAACCATTTAGAGATCCTCCATGAAGATAGTAACCATTACACACGCCATTGCTGCCAAGAGTGCTCATATCATTTGGACATAGTCTGCGGTTCATTTCTCCTGTTCATAGGCTACAACTTCGTCTATTGACGAGTAAACAAAGAATTTGAGAGCACAGGTACGTGTGATTATGCGGTGTGAGCACCCACGATACCACTCGTTTCAAATCTTCGAATCGTTCCGCGTCGGGAGCCCATTCTCTCGCAGCAATCAGATCACGGTTTAGACACTATTGGACGCACCTAACCAGCATATTTCATGCTGGTAAACGCCTCCAGGTAAGAAATGACCGATTTATGTCTTTTTACCGCCTTTGATCTCTTCGGGGTCAAAAAGAAACAAAAACTTGTTAATCTGGTCTATCGTCCCAAGGACAGGTATTCAAACATTTCATCTTTTATCCTCGTAGTAGGTACAAGCATATTCATGAATTGGTTGTGAGGAGAATAGTATCTGGTAGCAAATTGGCTATCCGACGACCATGTTTGCAGAGATTATATCCTTCGAGGGGATAATATAATTTGTTTGCTTACTGAAATCGAGTCAACAAGACATATTTGGTAGATGTTTTTATCGTGGTGGGTTCGAAGGCTCAAACGCAGGTAGCAGTCCAGAATTATAGGCGTTATCGCTCGCCTGGAAGCACCCTGCAGCTAAGAAAATGTGCTGAAGAGATATCTCCAAAACCGTTTAGACCAGACGTATGTGATACTGCAAGCGGCACCCGCAGTAGGAGTGCTTCTGCTACCATTAACCCCTTAGACGGCAGAGACGGAGAAATCTCTCTGGGTATGAGAGATTAAGAAGGGCATAGATTCGGTCATTTTCAAAAGGAGCGTCACGCTAGTAGTTTTCAGTTTAATTCGTGCTTAAAAGGATCCAGTTCTTACGCTATATCCTTCGACAAGGCAATCCGAGTATAAGAATTGCTTTAGCAACAAGTCTCGCAAGTTTTAGCTCCGATCGTCCGACCTGTTATATGAAGAAAAACTGGCGGGCAATGTTCAGGAGTTGAGAAGTATAACAGTCGGGCTGGCTTGTGACCCTCTTGCGGACGCAAAGTGGTAACCATTGTTATGATGGGTTTGTTCAGATGCGGCTCGCTTTGAGACCTTCACCTCCATCCAGCCTCTTGATGAAGCTGTGAGGCCATATAAATTCCGGTCCGTCAACCTGCCACTGCAAATCGTGATGTATTTCTTTAGCGCCGGTAGTCACCCCTACGGATTCAATGTGTCTCAGTTTTTCCATTAGGTGCATGGCGACCTACCAACACTCGACACGACTACGCGAGGGACATATCGATTGTTTTTCTGTAAAGGATTGATCCTTCAAACCTCTCAATCGAGACTGGAGGGACAGGCAGAAATCATACAACCACACTTGCTCATCTACGTATATCACGGTGCAGCCCTGCAGCTCAGAGATCGATCCTTCGTCTTCAACTTGGGTGTGGCTCATAGCCTCCGGTACACACATAATGCTCTCCAGATCTCATATTTCACCTAATTCTCCTTTCGGTCATTTAGGTGTTCATATCAAAGCCCCAGACTTTGTGTGATCATCAAAGTAGTTTGAGGAGCTTCATGCAACTATGTGCGATGCACGATTGGTAAGAAGTCGTAAGTAGATCGAATGCTGTAGACAAAAAAAATGCGACCATTCGTAGTTTGAAGAGTCAACTATTTGAAGGCGACAATCAGTCATTTCTTGTCGCGGCACCCCGGCAAGTTAGTGTTATTACAGATATTGTAGCTATGAGATGTGGCTACTTTTGGGGGGAGGAATAGGGCGTTTGTGTGTGTCGTGGTCACCAGATTTTTCACTGTGGAGACGAATCGGTGCGCTTTATAGCCGTGGTCTCTGAGGTCAACTATCTTAAAAATCGTCGACTTAAAGTGATGTTCTATCATGCTAATTGGATTTGTTTAACCCCGTCAAATTGTGACGGTAAAGCGGAATCAGCACTGAGTGTAGTACCCATCATGCGAAGCACAGAAGCTCCATGATTTTGAGACGAGCCACCTTATGTAAATAGCTGAGGTGATCCGAGAAAATATAAGCCCCCTCTTGAGCTCAGGCACACGCGCTTGTCAAATTTAGAAAGTATTCCCAGAAGATTTTAGCAAGACGGTGATGTCATCGAGCTGGTGGTGCAAATTTCTTGAGCTCGTCATCCGTCACAGATGAGACTGTTATCGATATGCTTGGAGAAAATTAGTGTGTAGAGTAGGACGGCAATGCTCAAGGGCCTTAATGGACTCAATTCAATCTTGTTAAAGTGGTGCTAAGGTCTTGTTATGGGGGTGACGTCTGTGGGGTGACGCCCTTACTAAGGGTGCAATGTACTTCAAAAACGCAGTAGACCGTGCGATTACGAAATGAATGTAATGTGAGAGCACAATCTGCTCCCGAATTTCTATTTCTGAACCAGATGTACTAACGGCAGATGGTCAAATGTGTATGCTCTCGATACGCTAACCGCAGCCATTATCTCGGTGCAAATACCGATCTCTAGGATGAATTCACCACACAGAATCGTGGTCAGCTGCACCTTGTACAGCTCTCTCCGCCCGGTCGATGAATATTTTCACTTCTCACGATGGAAAGTATCGAATTCTATTTGATCTTATGATGGGAGGTATCAAACCTCATTTTAGACATTGACATCTCTTTCATCGCAAAGAAAGTTTCTGCGCTTGATAATCTAATGATGTATATCAATTCTCCAAAAGGTGGTTAACGCGGCAACGGCGTTTAATTGTCTGGTGATATGGTTGTTTAGTACGCATCGCACCCGCGCACAGACCTATTTTGATAATATATTCACCAACGCTAGAAAACTCTTGAATAATTTTTTTGTAGACATCCATATCAAACTTTGCAAAGCAGTCCTCGTACGAGTGCGCTAGAATAATCTGACTGTCAATATAGATCATTGTGCTTCGGGCGCCATCAAATATCAATTTTGTGCTGTGTCATGACAAAGCATGATCTACAAGCAAATACCGCAAAGATCAAGGGTTGCTAGTGCCACCAACATAAACAATCAAAAATTGCTTTACCTGATCTTTATTCTGCAACAATTACGTCGGCTTGTACATCCCCTCGCCATTTTCCTATATTTTGTGTCAAATAATGATGGGGTTCAACAGTATTGGAGACTTTAAAGACCGTCTCAGACTGCCTCATGTGTGCCCCGAATACCGAATTCGGATAGGCGATGCAAGTCGTCGATGACGTTTCAGTCTTTGCCATAGTCCGTACATTACTTCAAGCAGATGCTGATGGGTGGTAATACATTACTGTATTCCAGTCTCGCCAGTGTATAGTGGAAGAAAAAATTGACCGATTCACGACATGGGAATACTTGTTATAGTTTATACCGCTAACAAATTTGGGTCACATATTGATTTATAATAATCATGCGCCATCATGCACAACATGCACAACGATGTCGATGCCACATCTCTCACATCGAACCACAGTATACTTATCCTTTCCAACTGTCTATTCGCAAATTTAACAATTTTTAATGCGCTGCTGTTTTCTAAAGAACGGAGAATGTTCTACACAATAGTAATCTTTGAAAAGCAAAGGGTATCTAAACTTGGCTGCGACATTATCTAAGCGCTTCTAAGAGCTTATAAAATGCTGCTTCTTTTGCACAGATACGCTTGCCTTCAACGTGCGCCGACATCTAATGCATCGAAACCTGCTCGCCTAGCAGCAAATCAGTTTTGGCGACTTTCGTATGAATATATCGCACCGTGGTAATGTTATAATAAGAAGTTAAGCTCGCTGAGGCTGGATTGGCAATGAAACCGAACTCATTGACAGTCCCGTAACTAGATAACATCTCTGGACCCGCCTCGGGGAACTGGGTTGTATGCAGAGCTCGCATGACGGCGAACGTATAAATGTCTCCTCAGAAAGAGCAGCAATTCCGATCAGAATTTGGAGGAGGCGGAGGCAATGCATTGAAACACGCTAGGTAGCTGTGACAAATCTACCCATCTACTATGAAAATTGTACGTTGACCACAAGCACCGCATTTCTTCGGGTGGCTCGTCAATTGACGCTCTTGAAAAAGCATTTTAGGAACTAAATCAGTTAAAGCAGTTGCGTTAAAAGCTGCGCGTGTATATCGTACTGGACAAAGACGGTCTGAGACCATTTAGCCTGAGGACACACACGATGGTCCGCGACTACGATGTTCTGTTTCAAAAGTCGTTGAGCGCCTGGATGGTCGGCGGCCAGACTGGTCTAATGACATGATGTTTGCCGCCAAGCTGCTCTCTGTGTAATGGGCTACACTTGGCCATTACATGAAGGAACGTTTATGTACCCTCTGTATGCTTTGAAAAAATTATTAAAGAAGTACAAAATGGTGCTTCCAAGTATATAAGTGAATATTTATATATAGTCACGAATATTCTGTGCGATACAACGTAAGCCAGTCCTATTTACTGGATACCTTCCACGAAACTTGAAGCCCAAGGTTTCAAAGTTCAAGCTCCGTACACCCAAGATCTTTAATTAGCCGAAGCCGAGGTACAACATAGTTAGTACCCCTTGATTAATGAAACCAAGGTTTTATTAAGTAAAACCTACAGGAGCCCTTGGGGTGCTTTGCATGTAGCCAGGAACCATAGCTCATTTTTATTCAGTTGCAAATTCGTTTTTAAAGGCTGAAGTCGTTCTTATCCCCTCCAAGCCGGGACTGTCCAACTCTCCCCACGTCGAGAATAGCCTCCTTGTCGCACAAACATGTGTAGGGACTTTTTGTGAACATAGCCCTCTTACACTTTAAATATAGTAGCATGGGACCAGGACGCTTGCTGCCGGAAGCGTTTAGGTCGAGGATGGTGTGACTTCAGGGCTCCCGCTTTGGTAAGTGAGGGTGCAAAGATTTACCGACGGAAGTAAAGTGTACTTCCTTGCTGTTGCAGCGTGACTGCTGTGCACCTCGCGCAAAGAGAGCTTCTACAGGAAGAGTCCGCGTGATTTACACATAGAGAATGCGCTTACCAGTCGCCTTAAGGTGCCGGAACAGGTAGCAAGTACTTCTTTATTTACATTTAGCTGGCCAGAGATATCTGTTTTTATCATTAATGATAATAAAATTTATATGATGCATTGCGGGAGGCTAGCAACCCACGTGTCCAGAAGACTTCTCCTCTAAAACTACCATTACTTGAAATCGTATCAATTACCATTATTGTTCTTTCATCATGGTTGTACGCCGAGGGATAATTATGTGATGTGTACATCCGCCGTGACAAGTTTCATACACCGTTACACTCCCCCACATCAATATATGAGCAATCCGCATTGAATTGTCGAATCAAAAAAAATTTAGCCTTTATTGAAGGATCGCGAGCACTCATTGTGCCATGATAGCTGTACATTACCAGTGCATGCTCGTTGGTACACCCATTGCACCGGTGGTTCTTTTCCTGTATAAATTTTGAAAAACATAAGGTTCGAGAGGCCATAAAAAAGGACGTAGCCCCTGCGCGGCGGTTTAAGCAGTGAAAATTATTAGGTTCTCTCTGATGGAAACGGTTTGAGCTAGTACCGAAGTCTTGACAGCACATCGTGCAGATTGTCGTGCACAACAACAAAGTAGTTCGTAAAACCGATAATTTTCAAGTCACTTTCGAAATAATCTGTGCATGTCGCAAAGAGCTACTCGCAAATAAATAGACAAGAAACTCAGAGAAAGCATACTGCATCGCGAGAAACACTACATGTACAATTCATTTTTGAGCCTCACATTATGTCGCAATATCACTAACCGCCGGTATAATTGCTTGCTTTGAAAAGCGATTGGAGTAGTCTTCCATCATCTTTAAGACAACACAGCATTATATAAGGCGGGTCACTTTTACAGAGTCACTGTGTATCGTATGTCTTGATCGTCTTAACCTGTTCAACTCATCATTTTAAACACGGCGTTGCATGGATTAATGGAACAAGTTTGCGCTCTCATAGCTTAAGGTAATGCACGAAATTGCTCAAAAGCCGTGAAAATTAACAAGTTTCATTACGATGATTATTAACGACATCGGCTCTTGTGTGAGCAATATGACGAGTATATCTCAATCTTGAGAAACTACTTATCATTCAGTCCCGGATTGTGAGTAGCAATATGCGTGAAAAGCAATCTCATCAGTACGTGAGACTTGCCAACAAGTATAGCATTTTGCTTCAAAAAAGGCCACACTAAAATAAACGGCAAAAGAGAATTTTTCCAGAATTAATGTGCATATAGCGTTTGAACAGCTATCTGAAATGGCGAAAGGATCATTCACTCGCGAAAAAAGCGACCGAGTATGTGAAACAAGTTTTCCTTGTCTTAGATTGGTTGTCACTGCACCAATTTGTTTACTTACATCATCTAGATGGCCTTTGAGTCGAAAATGTGGTGGATCGTGACTGCAGTCCTCTCGAGCATAAGAGAACAGAAAAAGATTGTCTTTTGACAGACGAATATGGTACAAAAAATGATTTCAAAACGCAGAAAAAATGACTTGTAGAATTGTTGCGATTCAACATTTTACCGACGATGTCGGTGATGGGTTCTACGATTATGATCGCGGTAGCCATTGTACCTTTCATCTTGAGGTCGATTGTGAGATCGGTCGTGTTGGCGATCCTTCTGTTTTCTTGATCCCCCGTGTGCAGTCTCAGTGCGAGTGTCGATGGTCATGTAATCCTATCAAGATAAATAATGACAATATATAAGTATCAGGCAATGTCCAGCACATAGTGTATGTTTTACGTCAGTTGAAGGCTCATGGCCAGCTCGAAATTGATCCTGTGCATTTGAATAAATATTAGATGAAGCCAGGATCACTTTAGACTTCCAGAGGAGGAAAGAATCGCTTACATCGATGTGCTTCGTGAATTTGAGCTTCGCCGTCATCCAGGACTTATCCTCATTGGAATTATCATCATCGTCATCGCATTCAAGAACCTGACCGTGGTAGCTTTCTTCTTTAGCTTCGTTTGTCACATCCTTAGACGTATTCGCTGTCGTATTGACATCAATTAACGTGGTTTGGAACTTTTTGAGCTTCGACAATGTTTCTTGTTCTCGAGCAGTTCGACTGCTGGTTTTTTTTCGCTGTAGATACTTCTGTCGTTGCTGCTGAAGAGGAGTAAGCATATTTTGAAACGCTCGATCTTTTTCCAGCTTCTTCGCTTTATCGCCCATGAGTAATGAAACGGCCTTTTTCGATTTCCGCAGCTCTTCGCGAAGCCTAGCATACTCTTCTCGGTCAGTCATCTTACATTTTGAGCTTTTTTCGGTTTTCGTTGAAGCAAGTTGCTTGTCATCTCCACAATTTTGCTCATTTGAGCTCTCCGTAGATTGAGACGTCTTGTTAGCGGCGGCAGTCACGGCTGCTTTTAAATTTGCCAGTGCTTGCTCATTCTTAGTTTCTGCTGTTGCTTTCTCACTAGTTTTATTAATCCGCTGCAACACTTCAGCATCCACTTCTAATTTCAATTTTCGATCATCAAGTAAGTCATGACTACTCATCATCGTCTTGACCTTTTTCCTGACAGCTTGTTTTACTCCTCCATGACTCTCATCCTCCAAATCCTTTTCTTCATCTCCAAACGAGAGCAGCTTTAAATCTCTTGTCGCTTTACGCTCGCGCTTTTTCTTTTGAAGAGCGTCTTCTTCAGTCAAAATCACGTTTTGTACCTTAGCTCTTTATAAGCAAGCAGCATTTAAAATTTAATCTTAGATTTCTGCCCTGGGGAAAGAAACAAAATTGTGAGAGCTCATTTTACCTGGGCACAATGTCTTCGAATGGGTTCCACAGAACTTCGACACTGAGCAATTTCGGTGGATTTATTGGACGATCTTGAGCGTCCGTCTCGATGTCTCCGACACTCAATAGATTGAATATTGTGTTACCTGTAACCTGATAATTGTAAAGACGATCAATGACCAATTAGTACCTTGGAATATCTCCAATACCAAACATACTTTGCCAAAAATGGTATTTTTTCGATTTAAGAATTCACAAGCGTCCAAGGTGAAGAAAAACTGCGAGTGATTGGTGTTGACTTTGTTCTCATTAGCCATAGCGAGTAGTCCACGGTGATTAAATTTAAGTCTCGAGTGGAATTCGTCAATAAAAGCGCCACCATAGATACTTTCCCCACTTTTTCCTGTGCCTGTGGGATCTCCACCTTGCACCATGAAACCAGCAATGACGCGGTGGAAAATTGTTTGGTCATAGTACTGTCAAATAAAAACAGTGTAATATGTATTTTGCCAACGTCCTACAACCATTAAAAGTTGGTACGTACTCCCTCAAGACAGAGTTGCACAAAGTTTCGACATGCCTTGGGTGCCTGATGAGGCCAGAGCTCTACATCTAGATCCCCAAAGCTTGTGTGTAAAAGTACTTTGCCCTCAGTATTCGGCTCGGTGATGTAAATATTGGACATGGCTGCGTATCGTTAATTAATGCTAGAATTATTGAGTACACATAAGGTCTACACAATATAATCAAATTTAGTTTTTCTTTAACAGGACAAACTAACTCAACCCTTTGGCTCTCTCCCATTCCAAATGCTCAATCAATGTCACTGGTCTAAGATATTCTTCAAATTTTGCCAGTGACTTTTTCCGTGGTGATAAACAATACGTTTCTGCCCGAGACTTTTCACGTTGCTCTTTAACTGCTCGAAGAGCCTCACGCTTCTCTTGTACACGACGAAGTTCATCGCCACTAAGTAAAGTATCTTCATAATCATTGCGCTTACGATTTGTCCATTCCTCACAAAAATCGTCTAGCAGCGCGTAGTACATGGATAAATTATTGATTTCACATTGCTGTAAATAAGCACGTTCTCGTTCCATGCGTCGTTTTCCATTTAGCTTCTTGCGACGTCTCCATTTTTCAAGTTGATGTGGCAGCTCTGTAGTAAGAAATGGCATCCTCTCTCGACTTTTACCATTTGTCGTAAAAGGAACATGATATTTTATATGATCAATACTCGATTGATGTTTATTTAGGCCACGAAGATCTTCAAGGCGATGTCTCGAACGTGTTTCATTCTGCATGAACTCGCCCTCGTACCAAAAGTCCCACTTTTCAACTCGCTCGCTACTATTGTTCATACGTTCATTGTTAATACTATTGTTGTCATGGTGACAATAGTAAAGATCTCCTCGACCCTCCATGGCATCATCGTGCCAGAATCCAACATGCTTCGACGATCCACCTCGAAACCAAGTTATACCCCGCCCATGACGAGCACCGTTCTCAAAAAAACCTTCATAAAATTCACCATGACGCCCACGCTGCCGTCCACGTCCATGGAGTTGACCTTCTCTAAACGGTCCTTCCTCAAATGACCCGTCTGGAAACGTCCGCTTACAGACTGGTCCATGAAGAACCCCTTTATCAAACAAACCCTCATCAATAACACCCGTAGAGCTGACGTATCGTCCATGTCCGGTAATCATTCCGTCTTGCATCTCACCATCGTACGTTGCACCATCTGGAAACTTCACATGCATCTCCTTCCCGTTCTCCGTGCCGTCGCGAAAGTCGTCTCCATTCAGTAGCGACCTCTTTAACACACGGCCTCGTAACTTGTCGTTGTGTTCATAGCAACGCTGTGGCCGATCAAACGTGCCTTGGCATACAGTTCCTTTACCATAAATTAGTTTGCCGTCACCACAGCGTGTATTGCCTTCGTAATCTCCGTTATAAATACCAACATTCGAATATTCCTGACCTCTTCCTTGTTTTTGGCCAAGTCGAAATGCACCTGAGTACATACCACCAATTGATGAATAATGAAAAGTCTTGTCAACTGGATTTGGATGACCGTCATTTTGCTCGGCTGTGTTCGAAAGTACGATTAACTCGCCCTCACCATGACGCAGACGGCGAAGAAGCACCGTTCGCATATTGACCTCCTTCAGCAAATCTTCCGAATTGATCGTTTGGTTTGACAATTGGTCATCTTCAAAAAATGCACGTGGTGTAGGGCGTGTTTGAAGAAGGCATACATATCTCCAGTCAGTTTTGTTCAAGGCTAGTGACGCCAGGTCCCGTCCACGTGGACTTTTGAAAGTTGCAGCCCAAGTTCTGGTTTCGACTTTGTCATTAAAATTATTTGACAAAGATCCAGCCATTCTTGAGACTTCAACCATAGTGACGGGCTCTGTCATCAAAAGTCTAGTAATGCGCCTGCATCGACGCTCTAAATTACTAATTTCATCTGTGAGCTCCTTCAATCGAGCATTCGTAACATTTTCTGAGTTTTTGCTTTGTGTTTCAATCTGTTGTTGATGACTTTCAATCTGATCAATCTCTAGCAACGTATTCGGCTTCTTACGTAGCCGTTCAAGCATCTGTCTCAAAGTAGCCATTCGTGCCTTGAGTCGAAGCAACGGCTGATACTCTTGAGTGATGCCATACAGCAGCCATGTTTTAATATCAATCGATTCGCATTCAGACGGCACAAAAGCAAGTATCAGGAGTGCACCACCAGCATACAATTGGTCTTGCAAGTCATCTTGAGGTTTTGGTTGTACGCGCTCGTGGATGATATAGTACCATCGGTCAACCTCGTTGGGTGGTAGCACTTGTGTCATCCAGTCTTTTGGCCATAGGACGTCTAGATAACAAGTAAATCGTTAATTGAAGCCAATTTACAATTTCAAAGGCTACGTGACATACTGCCGAACGGATCCTTTAAAAGTGCAGCATTGCATTTGAAAAGTAAGTTGATATTGGGTCTAGAAAAAATAGGAATTAAGTGCATGCTGAACGTCGGTATGCCATGAATGCGACAATTTGTTTACGACGCACATTGTGAAATCGGATCGTAAAAGCGAACTGAATTGATAATCCTCAGGCTTAGAGATTTTTGAGTCATAGAGCGCCACAGCTATGTGATCTTCCATCACTATGTTTGTGTTCGCGTGTTAGATATCACCTTCGAAATTATTATAATTAGCCATTGGAACTCTAAATTAGAAGTGATCAACAATGCACCGCAAATAGTCTGAACTTGAGCTGAGAAAAATAACCAAACTTTGTGTGAATGAAGGTTGGTCATGTAGCCAAAAAGCGATTTTTAAGAACAAATACTACATCTTTTTACATCTCCGTCGTTAAGCCCCGTGTAATGCACGTGAAGTTGTGGACCACCGAAGTAAGAGTAAAGTTGCAGTGTAAGGATTGCTTTAAAATACATGATCCTTATAGTCCAGGGTTATTGGTTGTGAGAATCAACGCATTGGATTTGATGAAACGACGTGGTGCGACTATGTGCAAGGCGCAACTTATGGAAATAGCTGTGGCATTGAGGTAGCCGAGTGCGGTTATAATTTCGTGTGATTCACTCGCTGATTTGTCGACTTTTCCGTTGTACCTGCCTATGAAAATTGAGGATTTTGACAGCGTAAATATGCTTTTGAAGACCAAGCGCCAGGATTTGAGATACCATCTCATCCTAGGTATGGCGCGGCTGGAAGGCCATGAGCCACGGGTTGAGTGGACATCGATGATGCTAAGTCCCACATACATCTCTCCCTGGTAACTTTTAGCTGGTAATGAACCAACCTTTTGAAAAAACGCAAAAGCACTTTTGGTGTGGGCACGATGCAGCAACTACCTTTACGCAAAATATTATGTAATTGGGGTATTGCTAGGACCTTTGAGCAGAAATCAGAATGCAAAGGCCGCTGTGAGCTGAGGAAAACAGCTGTATGTCGCAATCACCACAATTATGCGTTGTCGGGGGAGTGAGCGATCACATGTCGCGGTCTTCACGGATAATCCTTGCTTAGGCAGATAAGGTCAGCTCTGCCTGAGCCACCACAGCTTACATTTGTTGAGGACGAAGAAAGCGGCCGTATGTCAATGTCTGCGGGAATTGTCACCAGGATTCGTCACGGCTAGGATGGATCGAGGCGGCTGAAAGCTATGGTATCCAGGGCACATCCATGCAGCTGTGAGCCACGAATAGTAAGGTCGGCTCAGGCCTTTAAGTTTTATGAATGGTTTATCGTTGTCACGATGTGATAGTTCAGCTAAGTCAGCAACGTAAGTGACATGTCAGCCGTGCAGAGCATCGAAGCTTCCTGTGTTTGTGGCAAGCAATCGTATACATCTTTTGGAGTGTGACCGAGATAGTTCCTGAGGATAAGTTTTTGGTCTCCGCCTCAGAGATAATATTTTGAATTCGATGAATATATCCTCAGCCGATGCATGCAAGATATTACAAGACGGTGAAATGTTTTGAAACAATTTAAGGATGAGCTGATTTTAATCGTCATACATGCGTAGTCGTAGAAGAGTACTAAGTACAAGAAGTGTCAGCCTTTCTGAAGAGCCCTATCAATATTTTTAGCTTCTCTGAAAAAAATCGTGACAAGGTGGCAAGAAAACCACAAGAGGGGTTGTGCCTGGGTATGGTAAGGCCTCACGATATTGACGTGAATCCTGGAACAAAATATTATTTACGGCTAGCCAGTGGCCTTGCCAATATAACGGTGCGGCCCCACAGACGTTTCCTAACGTGCAGTGCGTGAAAGGGGTTTGGTGAGAGAGAAAGACTGCCCCACACGGCGCCGACTTTCCGCGTCAAAATGGTAAATGGCAAGTGACGAATTGGACATGGTTTCTGCAGCGGGGCTGCTGTAGCTCTTTGCTTAGAGAAAGCTAAGATAAGGTCACCAACCTTACGTTCTTTCCTTGAACCAGTACGAGTCTAGTGGATCGCAATTCGCTACCTCCAAGTACCAAAATCTAACCAAGGCAGACGAACACTTCTGTTCAAACTCGAAACTGTATTTTTAATGTTTTAGTCGCGGCAGAGCCGCCAATATCTAGAACCCGAGTTTTTCCTGATTAATACAATAATACCTCATTTATATAGCAAAACCTAATCAATACAGTTATACACATTACTACTGGCAATCCTGCCACATGGTGGCTTGTTGTTACGGTGTAGCCTTACCACTGTGTGATTACGCTTACTTGTGTAATATGTACGGTCGCACAATCTTGTGCGGTCCACCCCTTCATACAAGGGTACGTGTAACCCGTTACACTCTCCCCCAGTAAAATTCTGAATACACTTAATTGTCGCTCTGAGATACCTTAACGTTCTTTATGAACAACTTAAAACATTCTCCGCTCTATGAGCCCTGTGTCTACGACACGCAAAACACCCAGCATAGCTGGTAGCGAAGACGCCGGTGGGGAAAGCCCTTCTTCTTCTTTCCAGAGTGCATCTCCGGACAACGCGTCCGCGGCTTCACGGAAGCACATGTCAAGTCTACGGCAACTGAGCGCAACACACCACGCCCGCCCCGGGCGACGAGTTCCTCGTCGGAAAGTTTAACGAAGTCGACTACGAGTGGGACACTTCTTTCTCAACATGGGATGACGAGGAAGACGAAGTGCGCCAACAGCGTGACGTTAGCCCAGCTCAAACCCTGCGGACACCTTGTCCGCTCTCCGGCCTCTCGGCTTCCGGGAGAGGCAAGTATTAACAAGCTAAACCCATTCACATAGGTCTTTGTCTAGCCGATAAACACTACGAGTGGAAACTTGGCGCTCCAGTGCTTCGGGGTCTCAGTGCAGTCGCCGCGACGAACGTCTTCAACGACGCAATTCACGCGCTTATTTTGACCGTCGGTCTGCAAATGGACCGCTGTTGACATAGTCAACTTGGTGCCCAGCACCCTGAAGATTGTCGATCAAAACTTCTCAGTGAAGCGTGGGTCTCTGTCAGAGACAATTGGCCCCGAAAGTCCTTGTTATCAAAGGAGATGATCGAAAAACAGCGTCGCTGTATCCACACTGTCGATGGTGTCCGGCGCTGCCGCGAGATAAGCTATCTTG